ACCTTATAAAAAATAATGCATGTTATGTCTTTCTTTCTAATCTTTAGTTTTTAATTTATTTTCTTTTACTTAATGCTCTGTCTAGACTCTCCAGGACAATATTGAGTAGAAGTGGTGACAGTGGGATCCTTGGCTTGTTTCTCATCTCCAGAAGAAAATTTTGAATATTTCATTGTTAAATATAAAGCTTGCTGTGGGTCTTTTGCCAATGCTCTTTATTATGTTCAGGATGTTCCCTTCTATTTCCAGTTTGCTCAGGGGTTGGTTCTTTGTTATTTTTTAAAATGTGGATGGTGATTTTATTTTATCAAACACCTTTTCTACATCCACTGAGGTGATCATATGATTTTTCTCCCTTATTAATGTGATGAATTATACTAAATGATTTTTCAGTAATGTTCAGTCAACTAGAAGAAACTCTACTTCATCATATTGTATATATTGCTGCGTTTGTTATCTAACATTTTATTTGTTTCTTGTCTTGAAGTTATTTATTTATTATTTTGTTTTTATGTTCTAAGATGTTGAAGAGCAGTGGGATGGGGAGGAGGTAGGGAGGAGGGGGATGGTAGTGGGGGCGGGGCTGGCCCATGGCCGGCTTCTTTGCTGGCCTGGTTGCAGAGGGCAGGGGGGCATGGCTGAGGCCCACAGCTCCCCCCCACCAACTCCAGCTTGGGAGCCTAGGGGGTTTCTTGCTGTGGCTTGGTTGTTGCTGGGCTAAATGGGAATGTCAGGGGGTGTGACTGAGGCCCTTGGCTGCTCCAACCTGCTCAGGAGCCCAGGGAGCTTCTGGTGGCATGCTGGGCTGGATGTGGACATCATTTGCTAATATGTTATTTGGATTTTTGCATCTATATTCATGAACGAGTGACTTGAACCCTTGCGATTTTTCCTTTTTTGTGTAAAATCTTTTTTAGGTTTTGGCATCAGGGTTATCCTGGCCTCATAAAATGAGAATGGGAATATTTTCTCTTTTTCTATTCACTATCTGGGAGAATTTTTGAGATTAGGAATTTTCTTCCTTAAATGTGCAGGAAGATTCCATTAGTAAAACAATCTAGGCTTGTTTCTTTGGGGGATTTAGAATTACATATTCAATTTCTTTAATAGTGTTGAACTCTTCATATTTTCTATTTCTACTCCTATCAGTTTTGGTAAATTGTATTTTTTCTAGGAATTTGTTCATTTCATCTAAAGTTTCAAATTACTATTCTTTTAATTTCTGCCAACCTGTGACAATGTCTCTTTTCTCATTCTAATGTCAGTTATTTGTAGGGTACTCATACATCTTTTTTTTTTTTTTCCTTTTTGTCTTTTTTCGTGTCCGGCAACGGGATCGCAACCCTCGGTTCTGCTCCCGCACCTCGCTCAGCCAGTGAGCGGGAACCGGTCTGTATGTGGGATCCGAACCCTCGGCGGGAGCGCCACCACACTCCTAAGCGGCGCACTATAGCAGTGCGCCACCGGGCCGGCCCAGGGTACTCATACATCTTGATTTGCCTAGAATGGACCTGATGTATGTATATGGGACATTCTCAGTTTATATCTATTTTCCTGGCATCCTATTCAGTTTAGTATTTTCCCCCAATGGAAAAAAAAATAGTTGCACAAGTCACAATGGTTTTGGTTGGTTTTCACTTTGTGATTCAGGCTTCAGCCATGACGTGGCCCAGGAGTGTGTGAGACACACATGCAATGAACAGCTTTCTCACTTTAACTCTTTTCCCTTTTTCTGATTCTTTCCCAGATGTAAAGTAACTACCATCATCTTTTCAAGGACGGCGTGTAGGTCACTTGCTGAAGTGCTCTGGGAGATGTGTGGCAAGGGATAGCTATCTTCCATGTCTCAGGTGGTGTGGGGAAAAATCACTGGTGATGCTGAATGATCTGCTACTTGGTGTATCAGCCTGTTGGACCACGGCTCAGGTCATGAGATGAACGAAGCCCCAGGCTCCAGGTGGGGAGCTCCTTGGGGAATGTGGGAAATTTTATTTAAATCTGTACAATGTAATTTCAGAAAATAACAACTAAACACTCCTTTCATAGGGCTTTTGGCATTTATTATGTAGTGAAATCTGTAATTATATAATTGTTTAATAATGCTTTAAATTTTTCAACAAACACTTTCAGCAACAATGAGCTCAAAATAGAATACATATGTAATGAGCTCCAGTGAGGCCTGGTCTCCCTCGGGTTGTGACTGTGTGCTTAGCCGGGCACCATGGCGAAATGGGACAATCAGGTGGCCTACACGAACCCAATAGCAATGGCCAGATCGAGGGGTCTGATCCAGTCTTCAGGACCAACGATCCAGAATTATCTGAATCAACCAAGGCCTACCTGGGAAGAAGTGAAAGAGCAACTAGAAAAGAAAAAGAAGGGCTCTAAGGCTTTGGTTGAATTTGAAGAAAAAAATGAATAAGAACTGGAAGAAAGAACTAGAAAAACACAGGGAGAAATTATTAAGTGGAAGTGAGAGCTCATCCAAGAAAAGACAGAGAAAGAAAAAAGAAAAGAAGAAATCCGGTAGGTATTCCTCCTCTTCTTCTTCATCAAGCTCTGATTCTTCCTGCAGTTCTTCAGATTCTGAAGATGAGGGTAGGAAACAAGGGAATAGGGAGAAGAAAAAGAAGTCAAAGGATGCACCTGAGAAGGAAAAGGATGTCAAAAGGCTCAGCAAAAAAAAGAAAGATGGATCCTGAAGATAAACCTGTATCACCTGAGTCCTTGTCCGAATCAGATTATATTGAGGAGGTACAAGCAAAAAAGAAGAAAAGCAGTGAAGAGCAAGAAAAAGCAACAGAAAAAAGGAAAAGAAGCGTAAGAAACACAGTAAGAGGAAAAGGCTGCTTGTTCAAGTCCTAACTCACCATAACATTAAGAAAAATCAGGATCCCCTTGTAAAGAAAGTGCAATGTCTATGGAAATTTCAACTATGAAAATTATTGCATACCTACTAACATGCATGAATTTTATCATGTTTACAACTATCCCCAAACTATTCAGTAGCCACCTGGATGCCTCTGTGTGCAAAGGCCTAACTGTTGCCCGCTGCTTGACCATCTATTTTTTCTCTTCCAGTGCTTGATAACTCTGGGAGATTATATACTACAGTCGTACTCGTGGTTAAGCTATTTGGGAATAAAGTTTATAATTTTGACTAGAAGGGTCTAATGATAAAATCAACAGAAATTGAAACTGGGAACGTCTCTAATATGTAATCAGAAATGACCAGCTGACTCTAGGTGAAATTTTTAAAGTAGGGATTACATTGATATTTCAACATCCTTATTCTGTAGATAAGTGTATGTTGATTTTTTCCCCTTCTTTACTTTTTTTTAACCTGGGGAAGGAGCTTTTTGGGGGTGGGGTTTGCTATCTCTTTAGCTAGCAGAGCAGTGTGCCTTTGATGCTCACACATCTTGTTTTTGTGGACATAGTAGCCATGTTTCACCGAGAGGTCAGAGCTGGCTCCCAGCTGTCTTGCGCTTGCTGAGCTTAGTGATATCCTTGGACTCTGTCATATGCCGCTTTGAGTGAACCAGAGAAACAACCCTTTGCAGCATGAGAAATCCCCAAAATCTCTGAAATTTACCTCCACTTTATTTTTTTTTTTTTGTCTTTTTTCGTGTCCGGCAACGGATCGCAACCCTCAGTGTCGCGCCCGTACCGGACCGGGACCGGCAACGGGATCGCAACCCTCGGTGCTGCGTCCACACCTTGCTCAGCCAGCGAGCGGGAACCGGTCTGTATGTGGGATCCGAACCCTCGGCAGGAGCGCCGCCGCGCTTCCCAAGCGGCGCACTGTAGCAGTGTGCCACCGGGCCGGCCCTACCTCCACTTTAATAATACTAAATGTTATTTAGCATTAGAATGTTTATGTCACGTGAATTAATTTTGATTACACTTTGGCTTTGGAGAAGAATTGTTTCAAATAGACACTGGTATTTTTTGAACTTGATAGCTACAGATTCTAAAATGCATGTTTTATACCGTTACATTTTAACCAGGTAGGAAAATTTTATGTAACCAGTGGTAGTTTATTTTTTGTATGAATTTTGTTTAGGCTGCAATGTTTAGGTTTTGATAACTCCTTACTCTTGCTATCTTAAGTTTATTACTATGTTTAATGGTATACTGGCCAAGATATTTAGCATGTAAAAAGCAGGGTTTTGACTTTTTAACAAAAAAATCAAAACAGCTTTTTATTGAAGCTGAGATTTAGCATAAACAGGTTGAGTGGCAAGCCTGGTATGCTGTGTCTTGTTACATATAACTGTTGCCAGGATTTTTGTAAATATAATGTTTTAAATGCTAAAAAATAAAAAAAATACATATCTAATGAAAAAATGTGTAATGAGCTTCCATTTCTCAGGAAAGTTGAGGATAACCATGTAACCAGACAAAATGTTTATCAACATTCATCAGCCACCATGGGGTGACCATATGAAAACCAGAATACACAGACTTCTGAAAAAACATCACATCTATTTCAGAATTAGGAGATGTGTTGAAAAGATTGCACCCCAAGAAGCTGTTGTAACATATACGGTAGCAGAAGGTACTTTTTTATATTCCTCTGTAAAGCATGACTTTTAGATAAAATGATCTTTCTTCTAATGTAATTTCACTCATATATAAATTCATACTCAAAAAGAAAATAGTAATTTCACTCATATAAAAAGTAAAACAATAGCATCAATGTTTTCCCTCCATTAATAGAAGAACTTACAATAAAATCTGATTCTTTAAAATCAGTTAATTCCAAAATGGTTTGATTTTTTTTTTCCAATCCAAGTAATAGAATCAAACTGAAGCTTTAGGAGTTCATTTTGTTGAAAGTGAAACATCTGACACTATTTTGAATGCAATTGTAAATTCAGTTAATAACTCAATGTTGAAGATATTATTTGTGGTGATAATACAAACACAAATTTTGGTGAAACATGGCATGATGTTAAAATTAAGTAACTTAAGTAATCTATGAAGCAAAAATCTACTTATAATTGGTTGTTCACACTCAATCCATAATTGTGTCCAAAAACGCTGTGATCTTCCAATTGAAATAACTATTTTTGTATGTTCCCTTCCTTCCTCTCCCTCCTGCACACGTTGATCCCAAGGACATTCCTTAAGCAACACATTACTCAATCAACTCTATCTCCGAGTCTGTTTCCAGAGGAGACAGACCCATAAAACCAACCCAACCCAACCATAAAAATACAACTTTGAATAAGATTGCAGGCAATTTTATAAAGATGTTCAAAATGATACGGTCAGATTGAATAATACATTTGTCAGAAAAATTCAGTGTCTTCTTTGCTGTACATATTGGTTTGTTTTTTAGAAAGAATTTTTTAGAATAGTTTTTGAATAAAAGTGTTATAGGTCCACTGGTATGATAAAATCAATCTGTCAATTAAAAATTTTTTTTAAGTTTATAATTTAATTATATTTAGTGGCCTTTCTCATTGTAAATATGCCCTGGTCTGGACAATACATTATGGCCACTCTTGTTATTTGTGACATCTCTTTTTGTCTTGAAGGGTCTCACCAGTGATTTATCAATTGGAGTGCACATTCATCCTCAAAACTCCAGGGATATGGAACCATCTTCAGGTTGTTTGATAAATGTTTTTTGCTAAGAATCTCAGGCAGGCTTTACCCCAGAAACATTTGCCAAGTGGGCAAATTGAAACCTCAACCACAGCTGTGCAATAATTAAAATAAATTTTAATTGCTAAAAACTCACTACTGAGTACCAAAGAAGCAATATTAAAGAGGGGGAAGAAGCTTCATTTACCAATAGCACAGTCCTACTACTAGTACTGCAACTTGTCTGATGTTTGGACCAGGTCTCTCGCAGCTTGAATTTGGCTCTCCATTAAGTTATTCTAGGAAATAGATATTGCCTTGGGTTCCTTGTAAATAGATATCATGAACTAGTTCCTAGATTCAAATACTCAAACCATTACCATTACCTGGGAAGGTGTTAGAAATGCAGAAACTCAAGCCCCACTTCCAACCTACTAATTAGAGTCTGCATTTTAACAAGATCCCCAAGTAGTTCACATACACATTCAAGTTTGACAAGCAGTGATCTATCATGGACATCTTTGAGAATCAGATGGAAGGTGTAGACCAGAAGTCTCAAAGTCAAATACCTTTAGGAGTTAGGCAGGCAATGGAAATGGAAAGGGCAGGTGGAGACTTTGACCAGCTGTGGGAAGCATATTTTGTCTAACATAGGTAGATGATACTTTGCCCTAAATGAATGTCCTAAGGGAACGCAGGATCAGTATTCCTAGATTTCTCAGTTTTCCAAGAGAAGTGAGAAATGTGGATTTTTAAAAAATGTATGAAACCAAAATTTACATATTGAGAATGAATTTTATTTTAAAACAATGGGCCAAATAAAACACACCAACAGTTTACAGTGGTGTTTATTAGAGCTTTCTGCTATGATGGAAATGTTCTATATTGGTGCTGTTCAATATGGTGGCCACTAGCCAAGTGAAGCTATTGAGCACTTGAAATGTGGCAAGCATGACTGAGGAATTGAATCTCTAATCTTACTTAATTTTAATTAATTTACATTTAAACTTAAGTAACCATATGTCAGGGGTTACCTCACTGATCACACAGAGAACCCACAGACCATGGATTAAAACTCCTCTCAAATACTTTCCTTTTGAGGCAGTTCCTTATTTAGCTAAAATAGAGGTTCTCAACCTTGGCTGCTATTGTATGTTAAAAAATGGCCCAAAGAAATCAGATTTTAATTTCAGGAACTGCAAATGTTATCTTATTTGGAAAAAGTGTCTTTGCAGCTGTCATTAAATTAAGGACTTTGAGATGAGGAGATTATACTGGATTATCCAGGTGGGTTCTAAATGCAGTTGCGTGTATCCTTATAAGAAGGAGGTAAAGGAACAATTGAAGATGCTGGCCTTGAAGATTGGAGTGATGCAGCCACAGCCAAGGAATGCTGATAGCCACCAGAAGCTGGAAGAAAGAAATGGATTTTTCCCTAGAGCCTCCAGAGGGAGTGCTGCCTTGCACCTTGATTTAAACCTAGTGAAACTAACTTCACACTTCTGGCCTCCAGAACTGTGAGGGAATAGATTTCTGTTGTGTTAAGCCACTGAGTTTGTGGTAATTTGATATAGCAGCCATAGGAAACTAATACAGTTGCCTATTGGAATCACCTGGGGAGCTTTACTTACATTATCTTATTTAATCTTTATCAAATGACATGACTATTATGATCCCAATTTTATAATTGAAGAAACAGAGATTAGAAATTTGAGAAATTTAACCCACAGCTGGTTTGTGGCAGAATCAGGGAGTGAACCCAGATTCATCTGCTGGCTTCTGGACTACACTGGATGTAGGGAATGACAGAGAGGAAAGTGTTCAAGATGACTTCTAAGACTTCTGCATGGAACATGGAGCTAACAGCAGTTTCACTATCAAAGCAAGGAATCTGTGGAGCCTGGCCAGTTGAGGGTGAAAGAAAGAAGATGAATTCAGTCTGGGATGTTTTCTTAGTTCTTTTCCCAACATGATACTTCATTCATGTCTTCCACTGAGGGATAGATGTAGTTCTCTAATCCAAAATTTCATATCTGGTCAGCGTGCACCCGTGAACCCTACACACACACCCCATCCACCATTCTCTTAGAAATCATAGTTCCATTGTAAGCAAATTGACTTTTATTTCTAAACCTAAATTTTTTGACTTTCTAACTCTTTGTACATTGAAACATGGCAGCTTGTCTCCAACACACCTACTTCATGTACCTCTGGGCAAGGAAAAAATGAGCATGTGCATAGACAGACAGATCCACACCCCCAAAAGCTTCTGCCCAGGTGAGAGCAAATATGTTGGGATGAAAGAATTTTAGTGGTGAAGGGGAATAGAAGGTCGACGAATGAATGTCTGTAATGTCATTATAGAGTGATTGCTGTCCTCCTTCATTGTCTTTACAAGTGGTTAATGAAATTCATAGGGAGTTTAATAAACTTATATAGGAGAAGCATACAGGTGTAGAGCATGTTTGACACTTATTTTCACATAATTTCATAAAACATCCAAAATGTACAGTCTTACTGATTATAGCATCTCGTTTATACTCTGATTTGGTCCATCCAAAACCATCCTCAAATGTCCACATAAGCCACTGTTAAACCTGCTTATATATTCTGTTGTTTTATTAACTCCCCTGGATGACACACTGCCCACCCAATCATCTGTCAGTCTTCCATCTAAACGAGCACCAGTCTCCTCCCAAATGTTTCCCAAATCTGCCTCCATCCTCACCCCCTCTGTGCTAGTTCAGACCTCCATCAGCTGCAGCCTGGATCCTTGCAACAGCTTCAGAGCCAATCACCATGCCTCCAGTGTTGTCTCCCCTCAAATCCATCCTTGTAGAGGGTTAGAAATCTTGATTCTTAGTTGATGTCTAGAATAGAGTTTTTAGGTAATGCATGTATGGGACAAAAGTCCTTGGTTAGGAGGCAACAGCCCACAGCTAGTGGGCAAAAGCCCATCTAATCAATTCTAATCACTGGGGATGGGATTATGTACTTTGATTATTTGACATACTGACTGTTAAAAGATGTTGAAAGAATCACTGTAGGGAAAAATGTGAAAAATGTTTGCTAAGGGCAAGTTGTTTGTTGGTAGAAACTAGAAAGAATTATACTTAGATTTAATCATAAGAATGTAATGCTTGCTTAAGTCATTTGAGAGTTTATATTTTAGACTAGATAATGATCACAGTTTGATCCACTTAGCTTTGGAATGTCATGTTGTTAATTTAAATGATGTTACTAGTTTCTATTGTTTAAGTTATATTTAGCCATAGATAACTTTTGTCACGTTGCCCATATCTTTGTTTTCTTTTGAAATGACTGAATCAACTGATTTTTCTTGTGAAACTTCTTTGTCTTTACAATAAAAACAGAAGCTACCTTTGAATAGAGGCTGTACCCAGTCTCTCCTTCAAACAGAGGAGTTGCTGAGGTACGGTCCCTTCAGGCTTCTCATTGCATTCATGGTGCTTTGAGTAATCTTTTTTTTTTTCCTTTTTGTCTTTTTTTCATGACCGGTAATGGGATCGCAACCCTCGGTGTCGCGCCCGCACCGCGCTCAACCAGTTAGCAGAGCAGTCTCTATATGGGATCCGAATCCTTGGCGGGAGCGCCGCATTCTACCGAGTGCGCCACTGGGCCGGCCCTTTGAGTAATCTTTTTTGCATCTCTGTTACACAGTGAGAAGTGTTACACATCCTTCATGTTGCCATCAGAGAGCTCTATCGGAATTGTAAATGTGCTCTGCCAGTTGCTCAAGCCCCTGATTAAAACCTTAGTTACAGCCCTTTACCTGGCCTGCCAAACCTTTTAAAACTGGGCCCCTGTTTATCTTCTCAGCCTCCTCCTCCTCCTTAGACACTCACCCTGCCATCCTCAATGCAGCAAATCTAAACATCCCACACTGGTCCCTCATCTGGAATGTATCAACACTCAGCTTTCCCCATCAACTCTAATCCCAGCCTCTCTACCCCTTCCCCAGCACCTCTTTTTCTTTGTGCTTTTATAGTATCCTGTAGATAACTCCATCAGAACATTTGCCACGTTATCTTTGTGTTTTGGCAGCTGGCTGGTACAGGGATCCCTCTTGGTGTTATAAGCACCATGCTCAACCAACTAAGTAACTGGCCAGCCCTGCCAAATTGTTTTGAAGAGTCAATTAACATGCCCTTCTGTTTAATGAGTCTATTAGCCCCTAAAGGGCAGGAATCTGTATCATACATTTGAATTCCCAGTGTTTACCATGCATCTGATATATAACAGGTGTTCACTCTTCTGGGACCTCATTCCTGCTCATTTCTTTTTACTTTACCCCCAAACACTAAAAAAAATAAAAGCAAGTAAAACCTTTCTCTATCTGACTGTGAAACTTTTGTAATCGACCTTTTATATTTGCTGCTGTATTTGTCTGTTTCTGTTGCTTATAACAGAATACCGGAAACTGGGTAATTCATGAAGAAAAGAGGTTTATTTGGCTCATGATTCTGGGATGGCTGCATCTGGCACAGGCCTCAGGCTGTTTCTACTCATGGTGGAAAACAGCAGGGCAGCCAATGGGTGCAAGCAGATTACATGGTGAGTGAGAGAAAGAGAGAGAGAGAGAGAGAGAGAGAGAGAGAGTGCCCCAACGCCCTTTAAACAATCAGCTCTTGGGAGAACTAATAGACTGGGAACTCAGTCACTATCCTCCTCTCCCTCCCCAGGGAGGGCATTAATCTATTCATGAGGGATCTGCCCCCCACCCAAACAGCTCCCGACACTGCCACATTGGGGATCAGATTTCAAAGTGAGCTTTGGGGGGACAACATACCCTAACTTTATCAGCTACTTTTTTGTTTTTACTTTTGGCCTCTGATGTCTGGCTATTTGGTGGAATCCGTACCCGTGAATTCATCCCTGACCTCTGGCCACATCCTCACTTCTTCACAGTTCCTCGTGCCCCTTGCAGCTTTTCACTGCTGTCTATTTTCTCCTTAAACCAGCTTCTATGACATCACACCACTGCCAAGCATTGCCCTTTTCAGATTCCTCATTGCCTTGAGTCATGTAACCTACCCACTATCACAGTAAACACTTCCCTTCTGCACTTTCCGGCTGTCTTGCTGTTTGGGTTGGCAGGTGCCCCAGCAAAAAATCTTACGCTGTGAAAGCCTCTTGTCTGAAGCAGGAATTTCTCCAAATCTGGTGTCATTCTACTTTAATTAACACGCAAATTTCTTTCCTAATCCCCTAGGTCACAGACTGAGTAAACCAGCCTTTTCTCTCTTCACTTCAGACTCGAGTATTAATACTTTATTTAAGGTCATACCACAAGAGTTTTTTCGTACTACTGTTGTGTAGACAGTGGTCTTCAAGCATCTCTTCCTCTCCCTAATTTTCCACTCCCCTCTACAAGTACATTTCCAGGAGTCCCTAGGGAAAGTGAGTGGAGGAGGAAGCCAGGATGTGGGGCTGTGGCACATTTAGCGCCCAAATTATTTGTCAACTACACTTAAGGTTATTTAAGGAAATTTCTGAGGAAATGTATGTGTATGTTTGCATATACCACAAAAATATGTGCGGTAGATTCTCACCTTTTTAAGGGTCATTTATGTCTTCTTGTGAACATATGAGGGGTGGAAGGTGTCCAATCTGTTCCTTACGACGTCAATACCTGGAGCAGAACCACCTTCAGTAGTGCGGAGGTTATCAGAGGAAAGTTGTGCTCGGCGGTAGGGAGCACAGCAGTAGGGAGCACAGCAGTCTTCCCCCTCAACCCTGGGCAAGTCATGGGACCTCTGAGTTTACTTTCTGTAAAATGGGAATAACCTTACTGAGTTATGGAAAGAGTAACTGAAATAAAGTAAGTAAAAGAAACAATATTTCGTTCAGTTGGTTAGAGCGGGTGTTATAACACCAAGGCCAAGGTCAAGGTTTCGGATCCCGGCACCGGCCAGTAGTGAAAAACAACAAAACAAAACAACCCAACAATGCTAGTTTATTTGAACGGGGCACCGAGCAGTGGATTCCCACCGATCAAGGCCCTCCCGTGCTCCGGAGAGCGACCTCCAAGGACGCCAGAGGCCGCGACGACTCATCTCCATGGCAACCGCTCCCGCATCCCGGGCCCCGCCCCCGCCCCGCAGCGCGGACCGGAAGCAGCTGCCAGCCGGGTGCTCGCCGCGTTTCTCCGGGACAGCGCTGAGTCCGGGCTTCCCGGCCCCGAGGTGAGAGCTGAGGCCTCGTCAGTGCCCGCAGGTCGCGGGCAGAAGTGGCCCTCACCTTGGCCTCGGCGCTGGCCCTCCCTCAGCGCGGCCCCTCTCCACACCCCTGCGGCGCCCCCTCCCCCCACCTCGTCCGCGCACCCCCGGCGCGGGTCCCCGCGGCTGTGCCC